TTGATCCCAGGTACCAGACAACGCAGGTCAGCGGCCTGCGGCAGGCTGGCCGAGGGGATTAACTCCGGAGGTGCCTTTCACTTAATTGACAATCGCTTTTTTCTACTCAACTGAGAATCAAAAACACACATCGATTCAAAACAGTTCACAGGCCTGATGCTACTGGAAAGTTCCGCTCAGGCCGGCTCTTCCTCTGACGACTTGGGAAGGGTTTTCCCGTGGCTTTGCTGGCCGCTGAAAAATCTCTGCTCTCACTGGCTGACTGTCTGCTCTAGAGGTGGCCACGACATCTGGGTTCAAGGTCAAAATTAAGACTTAAAAAAGTTTTATGAAGACACTCTGTGCCTTTGGCATACTCCTGAACAACAGAAAATTAAGCCTGCTGCCCTGAGGTCTCCAGCGGTACCCTGCAGGCCCACGTGCCGAGAAAGCGTGCCCTGGCTGGACGTGGCAGTGTAAGAACCACACTGAGTGGTGACTCCTGAGTGACCATCACAGTCATCATCATAGCTGTGTTTCCCGGCACACACTTCTTCGCCTGCATTTTTTCAGTGTCAGGGGAGATTTGTGTCTCCCCAAATATCAACCAGTTGATGAAATAAATAAAAAACTTCCAAAAGCAGTAAGTGAATGCAGTGTTTTGCTCATAAATCTCTAAAAGCTCACTGGGAGGCCTGCTAGCACTTAAAACTTCAAAAAACAAACCTCCAGGCAAGGGACACCCCAGCCATGACTGAGACTGGCCTGTGGGGGCCCTTCTGAGTGGTCTGCACTGACACCAAGGGGTCTTACATGGCGGGGCCCGTACACTTCCTGTATCTCTCGCTGCTAACAAACCTTGGCAATGCCCACCCTCTGCTTATGGCCTAACCAGGAACGTGGGATGGGGGTGGAAATGGCTGGATAAACACCACTGGCCTGTCTGAAGGGGAAAGGTCAGACTCCCAACAGAAGCATAATTAAGCAAAGGCAGTACCTTTTACTCTTTCTCACTCTTTGGGATCTCACATGAGACAACACACTGCCTCGAAAGACTTAGTGAGGAGTTTTCTTGTTTGTTCCCATCGGAAAAAATGCATATATTTATTTTCAATTGTGCAAGCATGACAAGATAAACTGATTCAGAGTTTAAAAATTCAAATATACTCTGGTGTATGTTACTAAATGTGAGGCGCGGTGAGGCCACTCGGTCTGTTTTTGCAGAGCATCGGGGGCGGGAGGAGCGGGCCTGGCTCGGGCAGGCGTCTGCCGGGAGCGGGGAGAGGCCAGGGCTGAGGCTGTGTATCTGGGCCATAATATAGAGATTAAAAAACTCGAAAAGGAGAGAAAGAAAGGAGAGCACACAGCTGCTGTCCCCTAAACAGACCTCCCATCTGCCACCCACGATTTGCATGTCACCTTCTCCGGGCTCATTTGTACTTCATTAACTGCCATTGACTTAACAAGATTTATGCAAATGACACCATAGGAGCTCCCTAACTCCCACCGCAATCAAGTGATTATGTATGTACAACTCTCCGCAGCAATGAAAAATTAATACGTGACAAGCCCACTCGCTGCTGAGCTGGGCCTCTGGCTTTTTATTTTTCTTGCTTTGCTTTTTAATTTTTATTTGAATAGACCTTATCTTACTATTAAAAAAAAAGAAGAAACAGAACTCGGAACCAAATCTCCTCTAAAATTGCAGAAAGCACAAAAAAGGGGAAATGGGCCCAGGTTCTCAAGACATGAAATTATTGTGCAGAAAATAAGTCATATTCTTGATGAGGTATCTTTAACTGGGAAAAAAAGAGAAGAGATGAAATCATCGCCTATCGTGATCCAGCGAGCTCGCACACTGGGGGAAGAGGCCTGCGTTTTCACAATGAACGAGCTGTAAAATGTGAGCGAAACATGGTTGAGATAATTCACCGGAACGGGTACAATCTGTAAAAACATGAGTCAGGTTGCTGAGCCTGTTGAAGACCGCCTCGCCTGTGTCCTAAACCATCGGTTACAAGATTCCTGTGGGAAGGGGGAAAGAAGGAGTCTGCAATGATCAAAAATACTAGCCAGTCCAAAAACCATCACCATTAGCAGCCCCGTGAAGGTCTCTGAGCTTCCAAGATCACGTCTCTGCCATGAGGCAAAGGGTCCACGAGCCGGGGTGCGTGCAGGGCTCCAACAGACAAACCAAGACTTGAACACGGGCTGAGCATTAAGACAAAGTGCCTGGCTGCTGGTGAGAAGGGCAGAAATGCGTGTGACAAACAATCATGGTGGGCTGAAATGACCCCTCCCATCCCCAGAACAGACGAGCGCAGCTATGTTATCCCTGGAGAAACATGTTGCCGTGGATATAGTCTTGGAAGTTTCTTCTACACACGCAGAAGGCATTTTTGTCTGAGGTCAGGGTTCACAGATTTAATTTAAAACACGTAACTTTGCTTGCTAAGCCTTCTGAAGGCTCTTCGCCAACAAGCAGTGGAGAGAGTGCAGGTGATGCGGCAGAGGGGCTTGGGTCTGAAACCCTCGATGCCCATTGCTTCCTAGGCTGCCTGGTCTGGAACGCTCCCCGACTGGGTGTGATTTAAAATAAGGATACCACACTACCTCACCTGTGCCAATGTTGAGGCTTCAATGGGATGCTATATAAAAAGCACTTAACAAATAATAAGCACTCATTTAATTGTTCGTTTATTCAACAAATAGGTCTGTTGAGCATCTAGAACATGCTGGGCAGGCACTGCCCCATTGGGCTCCTTTCTCTGCAAACCTCTCATTTCATTTCTACCAGTTGAAGTCATCGCACTGGGAGGGTTAGGAATTCAGACCGTCTCTAATGATCTCGGTTCCTTTATAAACATGGGCACACACGGGCGTTTGAGACACGTCTATGTGACCATTTATAAACCCACATCCATCCGTGGGAGCCACAGAAAGGCTCCGACAAAGGTGCCCTGAGCGTGACTCACTGGAAAATCCAGTTTTGCAGGAATTTAAAAACAATCTCTGGAATCTCCACATCCCAGTGTTTCAAGGGACTCATATATTGTCCAGTGTCCCATTTCACAGATGAGGAACCTGAGGCCTGGAACAGCCTGCCACAGGAGGACTCTGACCCGCCAGGTGTGGACTTGAGGAAGGAGTTCGTCCGTGGCAGCACGTGGGGGCAGCTATGACGGACTAGGAGCTGCATATGCTCCTTGTGCCATGATTCACCAGGAAATCAGACCATGATTTAGATTTCGATGAGATTATTTTGAACATGCACAATTGAAAGGCTTCCAGGACTGGATAATACTCATTTTACGCTTGACGGTCAACCCCAATCCACACACATATTGAAAACCTAGCCTGTAAGACGAGCCCCCTCTACAGATGAGCAGGGTACAAATTGAGTGAAGGTTCTAATTACACCGGGGGTCTGGCCGGCTTGCGAGGAGGCGAGCACTCCCGCCCTCATCGACAATAGACGTGAATTAAGGTAACAACCTAGTATTAACTTTTAATATTCCCAAAAGGAAATGCCCTAGGACCAATTTTTTAAATGAGAGGCAAAGGGTTAAATGATTTTTATAATTCGAGTGGAAAAGCATCAATGGCATAATAATTACACCTTAAAATTACCCTATGTAGAGAGTTAGGTTTATAAATAAACGCACAGAGAAAGAATAAGCAACTACATGCATAGACCTTTACAGTAAAGAAACTGTTTTAGAAGGAAAACGTCACCCACCAGCAACGAGTAGGGAAGAAGATTTTTCTCGGCGGTGCCCCGTGCTAGCCCACACATTTGTTGTCTAGTATCTGAACGGCTCTTGTTAAAAACCCTGTAAACTCCCTGCTCTGGTCTTGCCCGTGAACCCCGACGCCATGGTCCTATGTAACCTGTTCCTGCTCCACACTCCACACTGAGATTGCCTGGCCCCCAGCTAACACTGCATTCCCACTTGTTTCAAATGGGTGAAACTACATTGTGGAAAGCTGATAGCCCTTTTTAAGGGTGGCAGTGCCAACATTAGTTCCTAAAGGATTCGTAAAACTGTCTAGGTATCGCAGAAGAGGATGGCAAAGAGCAATCACCCAGAGGGACGAGCTGGTCACAGCGATGTTAACAGCCAGGACTATTATTATGCCCACAGATTTTTTTTTCTCTCTCAAGCAGAATGCACTCTAAATCAACTGGCTTTCTTTAACAACTAAAAGATGACATTTCCAGAAGCTAGAGTGCCCGGTTGAACTCTTTATTTTGATTTTCCTTGGAAACAGAATAGCAAAATATGTCACGTGAATTCCCGTTTTACTTGAGACATAAAGTAATTTGGTACCCGCTTTCTGGGCTAATGAAAACCTACTCCAGGCTAGCAACATAGGCCAAAACAAATGCTTGAATTCAAGTCCTGTTGTGTAATGAGGAAGTTTAATTAAGGCCCCACATTACAGCTGTAAATGTTCCTTTATATAATAAGGTCTAAATGAAACTAAACCTAATCAAAGTTACAATTCCTTCATTAGCAAATTACAAACAAGAGCGCACAGCTGACACACCGGCTATGATTATCACAACTAATTGCCTCGTTGTTACAAACCAGCCTGAAACAGTGTTCAGATGTCCGTCTGCGAGAGCAAATTAGGGCCACATCGGGCTGTTCCTATGATCACAAGGGGCTCTTGTACACGATCTGATTTACCCCTGTCGACTGGCGGCCGGCGGCCCAATCAAAGCCAAGCTACAAAGGCAGCCTTTGAAGCCAGCTCAGCCTCGAAACGCACTCCATATGCAGGCGGGCAGACTGCACTTCATTAGATCTGTTGTCACATTTTCCCTCTTCTTATTCTAATGATCCTATATTAATACACACAGGAACCTCTTCTAATTGATGTCAAGTGAGTGACTTCTACATTCATCAACAGAACACATCAAACAAACCTTGGCGCACAAGCCAGCATCACAGCAAGGAGAGACCCGAGGTGTGTCTCCAGCTCCCGGGAAGGGAGAAAAGGGAGAAACGGCGTACCTGTTTAATTGGGATGGCTCGACCGCTCCCGATGCTGTCCGCACGACTCTCCAGGCCTTTCTTCTCTTTGTCTGGGTCACTCCCTTTCCGAGACTGCAAAGCAAAAATAAAGTTAGCATTTGGGTTTACAAGGGCTGCGGTTCACGGATTGCATAAGGTCTGCCCTTATTTGCAGAGTTTCTGTAAATACATATTTAGAAGCCATGATGATATATGTGTGTACGTACATCCACATCCTAGAAGCGGACTGTTAAGTAGTTCATCTCCACCGATCCATCATTTTACAGAGAATTTTCTCAACTTTTCCCCCCACTTTTCTACCACAAAATTATCTTTTAATTCTTTTTTAAAGAGTTCAAAATTCAATTACTAGAAACCAATGGACCATACAGGAAAGTAATGCCCAACAGGAAAACCCATTCCAAAGCTGCAGTTAATCCAGCCAAGGAGAAAAGGGCTCCTGGCTGCTTGTTTGGAAAACTACTACATAAATGTATATATTTAACTAACGTCTGAAGGATTTAAAAAATTCTATTAATGACTCAGTTTCGCAATTTAACAGTACACCCTTGATTCGTATCGAGGTGCTGGTCATGTCTCTTTTTATTGCTTCTGGATGGTTAGAAAACGGGGAATTCAAAGTCAAACTAGTGTACGACACCACAAAAAATAGCAAATGGGAAAACAGTTGAAAATATCTTTTTTTGACAAAACGTCAATACTTGGGGAAAAACGAGCAGCTTCGTTTGCCAAGTTCCTGGAACAGTTTCCTTGGCCGAATTGTGGACGTTGCGTGAACCGCCTGGCAGCTGGCGATTGGTGGGGAGGGTGGTGATGTCTAAAGCAGAAATGCCACACCCTCAAGCTCATCGTGACTCGGGGAATTCGAAGGAGCCCCACAGCTGAGTCTCCATCTCTGGATGGCATGAGAAAGTGTGAGCACAATGATTTTCTGACAGATTTATTTTATTATGAGAGAAAGATCTGAGACTCGTCCTCCTTAATAACTGTGCTGACAAGTGACAACTTCACTCCATTACTTTTCAATGGGAACATTACTCACGCCATATTGGAAATGGAGAAACATTTTCATGTGCTTTTCAAATCTGAGATGATATATGAAACGGACAGACTTTGTGGTGTCCAGCGCTGCAATGAGACGCTGATGGAATCTGGTTTCACGGGGGTGTGAGATGGAGCAACTTACTCTATTTTTTTAATATTAAAAGGGGCAACGTCATGGGTCGTAAAGAGGGAGAAAAGTTCCCATGATATCAGCTCAGAGGTCGATGGGCACACGTGCTCATTAGAAAACATGCTTCCTTGACAATTATAAGAGCTGCTACATTCACTGGCCACCTACTGTGCCAGGCACGTGCACGTTTTTCCTTTAGGATGGTAGAAAGTGTGGGATGAGACAGCAGGAAACGAAACAAGCAACACACAGAAAGTTGCAGAACGCAAAACGTAAGGTTTATCCCTTTCGGAGAGGATCGAAATGGAGATATTTATCAATCCCTTGTCATGAATTTTAGCTAGGAGTCAGGGGCTCACTTTTCTCTTTAATTAATTCTTTAATTAATAATGTATAATAAGCGCTATGCAATAGCCCTAAATCCTCTTTTCCCCACATCTCAATTCCTGGGAAAATGGGAACTTGAGGTTTCAATTTGTACAATAAGATTCAAAACTCACAGGGAGAACGTTTTAAAAAATCTTAAATCAATAGAGATCATTCATGGTACTTTTGGAATTTTATGAATTCTAAATTTCTAAATTTGGAAATCCATCTTCATTATTCTCTATTAACCAGAATAATTAACAAAACAAACATAAAAAAATTAACATCTTCCTCACGGCAGCACATCTGCCCCACAGTCTCTCTGTTCTCAGGGCAGAATTTCCATATTCCACGAGAAGCAGGACTAAGAAGCACTAACCTCAATGTTAGATCACACGCTCGGAGATGAAAGACACGGAAACTTCACTGCAAAAGAAACCCCCAAATTCCCTGACAACTCTAACATTTTGGTGGAGAGTCATGAAACTAAAATTTCAAGGAGAGCAGTGGCGAGCTGTTCGGCACAGGGCTTGCTGTATCTCGCCCCATGATTACTTTTTCTACAACATGCTGTAGCATATATCAACAAAACTGAAACCCGACAACTAAACCAAAACAAACCCATTGGACACAAAACACTGCAGCACAGATCAATTCCCAATAAGGTACCCGATTTTCCGCCAACTCTGAGACTACAGCACCAACAGCACATTCTCGCGTTACTGCCTATATGGCTCCGTGAAATCAGCAGATACAAAGCAGCTCTCAGGACCCGCTGCACAGGTCGGGCGTGACTGTGCGATGTCACCAGCCTGACACACAACTAGAAACCTAACAAGAGTTTGTCGCACCCATCACGGAAGGTGGGTAGCAAGCCAGAAGAGTGGCTGCTAAGTCTCTGCAAACACTGAATGTAGAGGAAAAAGCAAGGTTAAGATAATCTAATCATTGCCTCCTTCTTTGCGAAAACGTTTAACTTTCTCCCATGTGATGAAAAAAGCCATGAAGGGACACCTGTCAACAACCTGCTTACAGAGACGGGAAGCATCGCTGTCAAGAGCCCTCACTATCAAACAGAAACCTGCGTTTCCCCTGTAATCAATGAGTAAGTCAAAGGCTGCTGGAACACATCCCAACAGGATCCAGGCTCTCCTGCTTCACAAAAGACAAAACACCATTCGAACAATCCAATTCATACTATCAATTTTGCTGCCTTATTTTTACAGCGAGTTTCTGAGTCAGGTAACATCTTTTCACAATGGTTACTAGGTATGCTAGGCATTATCTGGTAAGCTTTTGAAAACATCATGTGAATAACATCATTATGATAAAGCTTGAAAAGAGGCAAAGCAATACAATGTACAATTAAGGACACCCAATAGAGTAAGCTTACAACACGGATACAGATAATAAACACCAAATTCAAGCGAATGCTGACCCCTGGACAGGGAGGCAGGCTGTCAACCTTCACCGATGATGTGTTTCTTGAAGCAGCAGCAGTGGCAGCAGCAGCAAAACACTTGTGTGTCGTGAGTTGCATGGGGAGTGTGTGCATGTGTTTTTTCTTCCTGAATGTTTGAAAATATTTTCTAGAGTTTGAAGTTAACCACATGTAAATTAAGGCCACAAAACTAAATTAATTGTTCTAAGAACCCATATTAAAAAGAATTAAATGGAGACAGCCTTACAATATTTCTTTTCTCAAAACAATGATGTTTTTCAAAGAAATAAGCAAAATAAGATATAATTTAGCTTTTGACTAGTGAAAGTATAACCCCTACTGCAAATGTAACACATAGTTTCTCACCACAGGAGAGATTTTAAGTCTGTACTATTTTGTAAAAAGTGCATGTGATTCATTTTTGTTTAAAAATGTGTAGATGTGAAAACAGAAACATCTTTGGATGCAAAACGTTAGCCCAGAGTGGTACATTCCAGGTCTACTTTATAAAATTTATAAGCCTGGTATTTGAAAAATGATGTGTGTACTACTTAATTAACTCCAGCCTCTTTACGATGGTCTAATAAACAAGGAGGATGGTGCCCCTTCGTCTGGGTCTTACAATCCCAGACGGCGTGGGTTTTTATTCACTAAGATTATTCAGCATACGGCACAGCTCTCCTCCTACCAGACACTTTCAAATAAATACACTTCTTGCCAATTTAAGCCAGTAATTACCAACAATCACCAGGGATGAAGAGTCTATGAAATTTTCCATATTTAAGAAGAGATTCAAACTGTTAACGATGAGACTTTAGTTTCTTAATTGCTACAATTTCAAAATTAATTTGCCTCTTTTCATTCCTTGGATGACACTGACATCTAGTGGAGTTAATATTTTTAAGATCTTCCACTTAAAAATACCAACACATCACCGTCACCACCACCACCATCTTGTTCAAAGCAAACCCAGTAATGACCAGCATTCGGGTCTTGTCTGGGATTTTAGCCGTCTTTTCCTTAAAGGCCATGAGCCAAGCCCATTGTAGTGTTAGCTTCTTTCATGACCCCAAATTTTTGTTCCTGCTAATAACAGTTGTGCAGCTGGATTTAATTTCTAAAATGCTCTACTCTTAAACTGCTTTCCAACATTCAAAGAGAAAGAACAAGCCCTGATGATGATAGATTCATGGGCACATCTTTGTATTATTAGAGACATTAATTATGACATAATTAACAGGGATCCTCAGTCACCATAAGGACGGCTCCGGCGCCCGCCCCACCTGCCCTGGACAGCTGGGGCTCCTGGCCTCTTCCAGGACTCCTGGACGCGGCCACGCCCATGTGTGCGGCTTGAATAAGTGGGAAGAGGGCCCGATCCCTCAGTCCTCCACTCTCCTCTTAGCATGCAGGGACCCCTCCTTTCTCTGGAACGTGGGTTGACTCTGGCAACCATGCCCCTGACAGACACCAAGCACAGCCAGGCTCTGCAGACAGCAGAGAGTAAGAAAATACTTATTAACCAAGTTATTATTATTTTGATTCTTCCTGCCTTAAAGTTTTCTCCTTTGTCAGTTACCCAGTGGGCAGGGTCTGGGATACCATTTTCTGGCACATTCCAATTCCAGAGCTGCCCTTAATATGTGGGGATGGGGACGTACTGGGGCTCTCCTTATAAACAGTCTCTTTTTTAAAGATACTTCCTGGCTTCTCATCTCTTTCCTTAGAATAGAAACCAAAACCAATGACCAGTAAATGTGGCCCTTGGAAGGTGTACTGGGCCTGGAGGTTCTCTCTTCCCGCCATGCCCTAACAGGAGCAGCAAAGATACAGAAGATACTCTGGTCCACATTCAAAAGCCGTCATTCCTCCCTGCTACGCTGGCGTCCTGCTCACGGCCCACCCTCCGTGCACTGTCGGCAACTGGTTTCTCAAGTCCACTGAGTCATGAGTGAGGTGACGCCCACTCAACCAAAAGCCCCCGACCTGGGTGTGGAGAAGGGTTACAGGTGCACAGAGCCGGGAAGTGGCTGTTCAGGTGACTGCTGTTATTCTCTGTGTGTCTGAAGACACTTCACAACAAAATCTCTTACTCATGTACAAATTTATGCATATCAGATATTCACCTGTATTTTGCAGAAACCTAAACAGCTTCCTCCCAATCTATCACATAGTCCAACAACTACTTCTGCTTAGCACTACAGAAATCATTTTCACAACATCAGTGGTGGTGAGAAAAAACGAGAGCAAGGTCCCAAAGACTCTTCACCCTCACAGGGAATCTCCCCAACAGCCCCACTGCAGAACCACTGTTGTTCCAGCTCAGAGAGGTTAAGGAACTAGCCCAAGCTTCAAACAGCGGCTGGGAGGGGAGGCCGGGATCCGAACCTGGTCTGTCTGGTCCTCACTCTGCCCCTCCAGCAGCAGTGTCTGCCAGAACTGATGTGGCACAGGGCACTCGGCAAAAGAAAGGGGAGAGTCGTAAGGAGGGGATGTGCGCTGTTGGCCACAGACCCTGGCTATAATGACTGTCCAGTGGGAAAACCACCACAAACATGGTGGGAACGGGATGGGGATCTCCTGCACTTGGCAGCCATGTACAACATCAAGAATGTCATCTCCAGTAAGGGCAGCAGATCAGATAACAGGCTCCCAGCCACCCCTGTAGAGTCCTCCCTTAGTTCAGGGCAAGAGATACTGAACTTCTTTGCATCTAAGTCAGCAGTAATCAACCAAAAGGAGAAGTCAATTGTTTAAAACAGGGAACCACTGACATTAGGGGCTGGATTATTCTTTGTCGCGGGGGCCGACCTGTGCATTGTCGGATGGTTAGCAGCATCCCTGGTTGCTACTCCTAACGATATGCCTGCAAGTACCCTACCCACCCCCAACTCCCAGTGGTGACAACCCAAAATTTCTCCAGAAATTGCCAAATGTCCCCCGGGGAGAAAAACCACCCTGGTCGAGAACCACTGGCTTAAAAGCATACACTTGCAATGCACAGATCTAGTCTCGGGAGGGAAAGTTTTCTTCTCAAGGCAAATGACTGCAGTCACATGACAGTAGCTCTGCCTGGAGTTCTGGGCTCAACTGCAAAGCCTTCCATGATTGATTGGTAATGTTTGCTGTGTGTAAGGGAAGGGACAAGGTGGAGCACTTTTCCCTCCTCTGTAGTTCAGGGGTTCTCTGCATCCCAATTGCCCAAGGGGCTTTTAAAACCTACGCAAGCCTGGGTCCCATGCACAGATTCTCAGTTCATAAATCTGAGCCCAGAAAGCTGATATATAGTTTTAAAATGCTCCACAGATCACGCCAAAGAAAACTCTAGGTGAAGAGCCTTTACGTCAATGAGTCTCTAAAAACACTTCAGGCTTCTGGTACTAAAAGCCACCTCGAGGTAAACCCTCAGGCACTCCAGCCTGGGAAATAACTGGGGAATTTTGGCAGAATTTTATCACCTCCTTGTAGCCAAGGTGACAGGTCTTTAGCTGGAGACTAACAAAGTCACAGGATAATAAAGATCTTTATACAAACCCCTCACTCTTCATTTTTGACACACATACCAGAACTCTCTGCAGGCTGAGAAGTTCCCATGTCACTCAGTATCCAAATTTTTGCTTCTCATAATTTTCTTAGACTTCCACAGAAATCAATGCTTTTCTCATTAACTGAGTTTGGATTCTACAAATATCATTGAACCATCTGGCCACCCGATTCATACTAATTGAAATTGTTTGGAATCACATACAAATGTCTTTCCAGGGTTGACACTCACGGTGAAAAGGTTGGACCGGCGCTTGGACTGCTTCCGGACGGGCGTTGGTGTGTTGGCAGTGGGAGGGACATCTATTCGCAGTTCTTTCTGGCTGGTGCTCGGCGTGGACGGGACGGAGGAGGAATAGTCACTTAAGCTCCCACCTCCATTACTTGTCTGTAACAATGGAACCAAGGTTTTACTACTGACACCCTCCAGGAACCTAATGCCACCACGTATGCAGGATCATCACCAACAAGTCAGTAAGTCACACTGAAGAGATGCCTGCATGGTAGGTCAGATAGCTTCTCTGACTCTGCTAGTTGTATTAGCATCAAGTGTACAAGGCCTCATTCTAGAATATACCGATCAACTCACAAAGTCGTTTTGTCTGAGAAAAGTGATCTAAGAAAGAGAAGTCTCTATTATTTAAATTACAAATTGGGCGCAGTTAAAATGTAATTATTTTATATTTCCTCTAAAAACGAAGGGGTCGGTTGATCTAAACGGGTTCTATGGTTCCTCCCCTGCTCTAGAGTAGACGCAGAAAGAGCACTGTTTTGTCCAGCAGGACCACAACTCACATTTTATAAATGACATCTTGAAACTCTGAATGCTTTTGGAAGATACTGCAAGATTCATAAAAAATTAAAGATGCCTTGAGCGGAGACATTAACATTCTTGACTCTACCTTTAGAGGCCCCTACAGTAATACGATTACTTACTGACGTCCCAAGCAAACCGAAAGTGTGACACCAAACCCTCTTGCTGCATTCTTTAAAAAAGTGCCCATATAACATCTGTCCGAGAAACTGTTAATCAAACACACGAGTCCAGGCAAAACCAAGTCAACAGTTGCCTTAACAGGCTTTGGGCTCGGTTCTTCAAAGTGACAATTATTTTGTTTGCTTCCAAGTAAATAATTTAGCAAAATGTTGCTATGGAAAGACAGTAGTTTCTACAGGGCCTAAGGGAGAGGGTACTTATAATTGAGGGCTGCTCCCAAATTGAAGCAGATAGTGGGATCAGCCACTGAGATTTACCCACAACTGTTCAACCTATAAGCAGACGAGAACCAGGACCAACGCAGGGTGATTGAAATCAACAGCAAAGACAGCAGCCCACACCTGGCTTCTCTGCTTGAGCCAGCATGCCTCATAACACAGGCAGTACGAAGACAGGAACATTAAAGAATGATTACCATAAAAACCACTTGGCCACAGCGGTTTCTGAAGGAAACGTTAAGTCAATTACCAACATGCTGTTATTTACCAAGTTGAAAAGAAGAAAAAAAAATCCACCTTAGAATTGGCTAAGGACATTCTTTGGACAGGCACGTTCTCCCTGGTTCTGACGTGCCTTTCAGGCCAATTTCCCACGTGCCCAACGTACCTGGCTTATGTGCACAGCAGACACCTGTGCGGAACACACAGACGAGTGGCTTGGAGAGTTGGGGAGCGACTTGCAGGGTCCTATGGACAGCTGCTGCTTCTTCCTTGTGGCAACAATCTTCTGGGCAACTAGCGGACAGGGAGACAAAAGAAATCAACGTGAGGCTGGTTTCCAAACATAAGGTACGTGGCAGAGACTGCTGGTTGTCCCTGTAATCCACTAGTCCCTTCTTTCGCAGTAACAGAATTCCTGCTTTTTAGTTGGGCACACGACTACCAGAAACAAATACGACACTTCCCAAAGCCTCCTCTGGTTTGTCCCCCGGTACCCAGCCAAATATGGCCATGCAAGCCAGCTCTGGCCAATGGGATGACAGTAGAAGGGTCATGTGGCAGCTTCCAGGAATCTTCCTTGAGAGAGTTGCCCTTGGCCCATTTCTTCCTTATATCTTTTTCGTTTTTGCTGCTTAAAATGCACATATGTTAGCTGAAGCCCCAGGAGCCACCTTGGGGATGGAAGCCACGTGTGGTGGGACGGGAGACGAAGGAGCCAGACCTTTGACTCCGTGGAAGACCTCAGCAGCCTTCACAGACCACCTCAGAAGGCTTGAATATAAACAAAAAGATAGACACCAATCTTATCTAACTTATTGTAGTAATATGATTTTTTTCAGTTACTTGCAGCAAAAATAATCCTAAATAGGACAGGGTAATTTAACTAGCCTCCCTTGAAAATCAAAATCTTTTTTTTTTGCACAGCCTAAACAATTACATTTAACTTTATAAGCTACTGTATTATATATCCAAGGACATGTAATTATATGAAAGAGTTTTTTTATTTAACATATTACTATACACATTGGAAGTTTATCTTGATCAATACGAATCTAAATTCAACCAGCCATAACTTCTCTTGGCAAATAGGCTCACTGATAAAGCATATTGGATTTAATTGGAAAGGAAGTCAACGATTAGAAAACACTTCCTACACCAATAGGTGTCACTACAGGAGAATAACTACAGCTTTTATTTGAATAGATGTGTGTCTTTGGGGACTAGCTGTAATTAAGTTTAATGATATTCAATCCTTGTCTTTGCCCAGATAGTTGCTATTCTGAAAGACCCCTTGCTAAGTAACACGTCACTGTCCCCAGCAATAGGTTATAATATAGAAGAAACACAGATAGTGTTCGCAGATAATTTCTTTTCCAAATGAATACAATTTTAATAAGGAACTGGTTTGTCCACAGCTTATGGCTTTCATGCAAATGAATCATAGTATAAATATGATTAAGTGAAAATGCAATATATAAAAAATGGCTCACAGAGATGAAGAAGCAGCTTCATTAGTTACACCCCACCCCCAACAGGCCTCTTATCATCCTGAAAGGATGGTATCAATTAATTTATCTTCCCGTGCTGTATTGATCGTAACCTTCATCAGCTAATCATGTTTAAATTACAGAGGAATATCGTGGCACTCTGTCATTTCAAAACCATTGGCGTATTGATTTGGGGTCTTTGAAGACGTATATTAGAACATTTTAAAAATCATTATGTGAATTCAAAAATAAAATCTAAGATCAGATTCCAATGGCTGCAAAATATGTGTCATATAAGTGAACTGAAATTCCAAAGATCAGAAGTAAGTTAACCTCAAATCGTGATTGTTTGGGTGATTGCTAATTCACTTCTCTTTTGGTGGAGAGTCGAGAGCAAAAGGGTGTTTCTGATTATTAATGCTAACGCATTTTTATTTTACTCCCCGCCTCAGAGTTGCTATTCAGCTGGATGACCACAATGACTCTGATATTAAAGCTCATGGAAAACGCACAAATCTCAGAATTAAACAGGGCTAGGCTGTTTGGAGAGTTTTGTAGACATTTCTATAATGTTTTCTACACTAAGGGGAGATTTGAGAAACTTTCTAAGATAAGTCAAATATGTTATTAAAATCCTCATTTTATGAAACTCCAAATGCAAATGAATGTTCCATCCTTCCTACTTGGAGTCCAGAAAGAGCAAGTTCATGAGCAAAGAGAGTATTTTTACAATAAAGCTTCTCATGGAACCATGGACAGGGTTGTACAAAGCATGAGCCACATGTAAGGTCCTAAAATTCTTCTGTCCATTTAATTACTGCTCGACCACGTTAATTACACAAAAAAATGCAGTCACAACTTATAATAACTGGTAGCACTTTTTTCCTACTTTACTAGAACTTTTATTTATATTTGTTCTATTTCCCCATTTACCCATAATTTTTATGTCCTTCCTACCCCCATACACAAATGGAGGAAAGGAAATGATTTACAAATATTTTGTTCTAAAATATATAGACTGCTTTAGAGCCATAGGATAACCCATAAAAATAGGGAAAAACTTATGAAAAACAATGAACATATCTGACTTAAGAAAGAAGACCAGAAGAGGAAAGAAGGTGAAGGGACTGTTTTGTGAGGCTTGGCCATCCTCTCCTCCATAGTGAAAACAGAAATCTACTCTCTGAGCCACAGCTTGCTAACTGCTGTCATGATCTAAGGACGTGACCTGGGGGTGGTATCTCTGGGCGGCTCACTTGAACGCTTTCCTAGATGAATCGTTTGGGTGCACAAAAGTTAAAGTGACCGCTGGTGCCCACAACAGTGCCACGGTCCATCCCTCAAATGACCTGGCAAAACTCAGGGTGAATTCACAAGAACCCCCTGACAGCAGAGCTGGGATGGTCTGTGTGAGTGGATGAGCTCCCCTCCCCAAAAACAACTCAAAAGAAATGGAATGCCAGGGGGAGGGAGGCTCTTTTCTCTTGTAACTATAATCATTAACTACTCACAATGTTTACAACATTTAAATATTAACAGATTTAAAACACAAATATTACCCTAGATTATACCAGCTGGGCAATTTTTAGCACTATTGAGATTTTATCTACAGTTGATCATTTAACAAATGAACATGTTATAACGTATTTTACATAAATACATGCATGTGAATGAATGGATGAATAAATAAAACAGAAACACAATCACCAGAGCTTACTTAAAAGAATCTGGAATCTTTATCATTGAGATATGTTGTTTTCTCAATTTTGGTGATGTACTTGACCAATTTTGACACAAGTTATGCTTAAGTCTTACATGGTGCCATCATTATGTACTGAAAATATTTGCTCTTAACCTCCTGATATTTCAATACTAATGCTTAGTGTTGTTTTAAAGTCATTTCCTCCAGAATTTTGACATTTTATTTGGCTAACAGATAAAAGATACTCTTTAATTAGTGCCTTCAGTCATATCTATAATTAGGGCTTCTGGGGGCTGGCAGTGGCCCCTTCTTGACCTCGGTGATGACTTTGAGATCATTTTTTAAGCCACACCCTTAGGTATACTCTGACATATGTTTTTCCATTCTTCAATTAAAAAGAAGTTTATTGAAGAACTTAAGCAACAAGAAAAGTGAGTTATACATTTACTTTCTCCACAAATTTAAACTTTCTATTGGGTTAGATGACAAATGACACTCTTTTATTAGTGGTAAAAATAAAACTCTCAGCTCCCAGATAAGACTTCATTAAATCCTGGCATAATGTTCAATTTCTGCTTTGACTTTATTTTTTATATCATTCGCACTAAACAAGGAAAAGAATAAAGTCCGGTCATAGGAGGAGAGTCAGGCCCCACCTCTCACACCCCTCTGTGATTATGTGGCACCCTCCTCACCATTGTTGTGAGGCCAGGCAGTCCCATCTAACAACTCATTTAATCCTCACATTCTTCTATGTCACAGATGAGGTAAATAGGGCAGAGAGGGGCTGGTGGCAGAACAGGGATTCAAGTGCAGTCTGTCTGGCTCCCACTTGCTTGCAACACTGCCATATGGCAATGAAACACCCATTTCCCTGCCAGCATCCCCCACTAGACTCTTTCACATCCAGGACAGGGACCGTGTATTTCCTTCTGCCCTATTCCCTCACTTTCTCCACAATCTGTAAATTTTATTTCGATAGCAGATAAAAGAGACCCAGCTTGGTGACTGGTACCCAGGAGATGCTCAGCCAACACTATTGGCCAAGCTCCATTTCCACAGTCAGCCTTCTTGAGAGCAGGTGGACTCCCCCTGATGTCCCCTCCCCTGTTCCCCTGACCATTGCAACCTGGCCTCTGTCTCCATCCCCTTGGCTGAACTTGCCATTGCCAAGGTCACTGGTGACCAACCGGAGGCAGGGTTGCATCTTACTTGACCTCTGGGTGGCATTCGGCATTGCTGATGGTTCCCTCCTCTCCTGAAAGATTTTCCTCCTTCCGTGACATCAACTTTCCCGGTTTTCCTCCCATGGCTGGAACTCCTCTCTCCTCCTTCACTGGCTCCTTCAATGGGGGTGTTTCCAGGCTTCCTTCCTTAGCCCTCTTTAATCTCCACGCACTCCCCCAGGCAATCTCTCCACATTAACGTGTCAACCACCACCTCAATGCCAATGGCTCCCAAATCTATACAAATAGCCTTGCTTTGTATTCTTCCTGCATTCTAGAACCTATATCCAATTACCAACTCCACATCTCCCCTTGACGTGCTGGAGATGCCTCCACGTCCATGTGGCCCAACCCGAGCCTCACCCCTTCTCCCCACCAACCTGCTTCTCCTCGATCTTCTATCTCTGTTGACTGTCCCACCGACCCCCCTACCCACTCCAGGCATGGAGAGGAGACAAAACAGATTATTGATTCTACCACCAGAATTTCTCTTAAACTCACTGCCACTGCCTTGGCCCAAGACCTCATCCTTCCGTGGCTGTTACCGAAGTCGCTTTCAAAGCAGCCCCCATCACTGCAGCCCAAAGGAACACACTGCACAGCGACCTTTTCAAAGGCAAATCTCACCATGGCATTCTGCTTACGGTTCTTCAGCAGCCCCCGTCATACAGACATCAGAACTGAAATTCCTTAGCAAAATGGGGCTCTTTCACGTTTGTGAGTGGTCGATTCTCCACTCCTGTTCTTCCTTCCACAGAGACAGATTCCCACTGCCCTAACACTCCGGATTCTTTACAAATCCTCCTGTAAATGGACCTGACCCCATTGAGAAGTGACTTGTATGACTGATGAGCTTGGAATAAGCTGTCCCTTCTCACT